GGAGAGCCCCACAGGGGGTGCAGAGCGGTGGGAGCCCGGAGCAGCTCCTGGTGGGGATGAGCTGAGAGCCCCAGGGGGGGAGAGAGAGAACACTGAGAGGGGATCTGAGCAACACTCCAAAGAAACTCCTGCAGCCCCAAGAGGAACCGAGCCCAGGAGGCTTTCCGTCTGACGCTGCTCAGCAGCCCAAGCAGGATCCAAAGCAGCAAATGGCAGCAGCTCCTGCACCTGGGGAGGCAGGGCCATTCGGCTGCTCGGGAAGCAGCTGCACGTCGCTTTGAAGCAGCCTGCAAACCACCAGCAGTCAGGAAAACAGCAGAGCTGGGCGGCAGATCAGATAAGTGCAACCTGCAGAGTGGAGGCTGAAGGCTGGCAGCGCTGACAAGCAGTAAAACCCCAGAACCTCTCTTAGGAAAAGCATCCCAGCAGAGGGGCCGCATCTCACGTAAGCTGCACAGCTCACCTGCTGGCAGGGAGCGCAGGAGGGATCCCCTAAACCGTTCGTACAGAGCAGATGTGGTGCCGAAGGTCGGCTCCCCGCTCACAGCTCAGGCTGCTCTGTTCTCTGCCTCTGAGGATCACGTTTCCATCCGCCGTAAAATTCTCTTTCTTTTTTAACCTAACGGCTTCCACAGCTCACAGCCAACCAAGCCCTTGTTTCCCTCAGCGTTGCAGGGATGAGCTCTTTTGAAACGCACTGCTGGCTGCGGGAGAACCGAGGGCTCTCAGGGCTGAAACGGGCTCTGCAAGCAGCGTTTGCTCCTCCTCCTCCAGGGCAGTGTGGGGAGGTGAGGCAACAGCAAACCGAGCCACAACCCGCCCCAGCTGCTTGTCCTCCTCGGTCCCGGCCAGTCAGAGCCTCCCTACCTGAGCCAGAGCCAGAGGTGGAGAGATCGTAGACGAGATCTTGCAGCGTCTTGTCCTTGGACAGGCACATTTCACAAGAGGGGTCCTCCATGTCCAGCCGCTGCCGGTTGTGATAAACGCGCTGGTGGTGATGAAACACGAAGACGACGATGATGACGACCACGAAGACGAGGAAGACGGGCCCAGCAATCACTGCCACCAACTCCACCGGGCCCCAGCTCGACGGGGGCTCGTTGTCTTTCAGGTGTCCTTGAAGCAAGAAGAAACACAGCGTTATCGCAAGCGCTCTTGGAGGACCTCACAAGTGCTTTAATTCCCCTCTCACAGCCCAGATTTGTTGCTTGCTGCCCCGCGATGGCGCAGCGCTGTCAACACAGGGACGGCCGCTGCCGGGCAGCCAAACTGCAGGGAGGACCCACGAAAGCAAGCAGTGCTTTGGTCGCGGTGCTGGGGATGACGGCTCCTGCTGCTCAGCACGGTGGGAGCCTCCCCTGGGCCAGCTCTGCTCCTCTGAGCTGTGCTCACTGTGCCCTGGCACGCTCCAAGGGGGAGGAAAATCGAGCAGCGTTGGGCGAAGGGCTCCTTCCTGCCCCCATCCCTCTGTCCTGAACGCAAGGAGAGCAGCTGCTCATCTTGAGAACAGGCGAAGCTTCCCCCGCTCTGCGCCCAAAGGAAACGGCTCCCGCCGCCTTCGTCAGACCCACGGCACCCGAAACGCGGAGCTATGAGGAAGTTCATGCACTCCTCCGTCCCACAGCAGACGGTTCCCACACCCCCAGGAACAGGGCAGGGCTGCTTCCTCAGCACCGGGCGCCTTCTGCCCTGCTCCGCTCCCCTCCATGGGTCGCAGTGCGGAGATGTGCAGCCCCAGAGGGAGGAAAGCACAGAAGAAGCCGGGCGGAGGGAGCTGAGCTGCACCCAGAGAACAGGCAGCCCGCAGCCTCAGGCCATGCAGACACAAAGCCCCACACAGCAGAGGCTCTGGTGTCGCTGCAGACGCTCAGATCTGCTCTGCTGCTCCACGAGGCTGCGCAAAGATCAGGGCTGATAAAGAGGAGTGTCAGCGTGTGAAGGTGGCAGAGGGGGGGAAAAACCCAACCACAACCAAATTGGGGAAGCTTCTCCTGGCCCAAAGCGCCACCTCATCGTCTGCTGACATTTCGTCTGCCACAGGGGAGCTCGAGCAACTCCACGTGTTAATTGGAAGCAGCTCGTTATTACCTCCGCTTTACCCATCGAGGAAATCAGCCAAGTGCTCGAGTTTGCACAGCAACCGAAGGGAAGCAGTGGAAAGAGCCTCAACGCCAGCCCTAAGCAGCCCCATTTCCCCTCCCCGCATCCAGCACGTGTCCCGAGCTCTGTCCTCACCGCTGGGAACCATCAAATCAATCTTGTTGCAGAAATCAGAGTAGCAGCAGTGGGTGTTGCGCAGATCCTCGGAGCTCAGGCAGTAGAAGGGCTTCCCAGCTGGGATCAGTTTGGCTTCGGGGATGCAGGTCCTCACGTGGTGCTTCACCCCATCCAGGTT